AGCACACTTGACAAGCTGCACTCTTATACAAACAAAAAAGCATCTTAGATTACTAGCAACCCTGTGCTTCATTAAATAGGTGAGCATTATGGTTATTGTATTTGAACCACATTTCCTGTATCTAACACATTTCCTGAGGTTAAATAAACTAAATTACCCCATGACACACGTTAAAAACACATCTACAATGATGACAAATAGTGTTGCTTACAGAGTTTATAACGCACAGCAATAGGTTGTTCTCACATGATGCCATTGATGATGCGCGGGACTGCGGTATAAAGGGCAGGAAGTGGTTGTTCTACATAGGAATCACTATCAGAACATTAAAATGTTTCTGTTTTATGTTATTTATAATTCTTAAATCGGCCAATATAAGAAATGCTAAAGGCCTTTTATAGCCTTCCAAAAGTTTTTTTTATCATAAAGGGGGAAAAGTTCAAGAAACTGGCTGAAAAATGTAAGAAAAGGCAGGATGTAATTTAAGATTTTTTCAATATATCCATGTGTACAAACATAGATAGCCATCTTGTTGTGCAAAATTGAAATTAAAATAAATGGTTTAGCTTCTTAAAATCAATTTACTGATCACATCGGTGTCATTGTACACGTTTGTCACAACCAGCGATCGCTCCCCAGAGGATCGCTGGTTCTCACACGAACTTAGGACTTCATTTCCGCATTCCCCAGGACTACACATTCATACATGCACTGCTCCCAAACACGCACACCTGCTCACTCATGTATCCTGATTGCAAGCACCAGCTGAGCCTTGTTCACAGACTGATTACATCCCATTCATAAGCCACTCTCTCACGCCACCAGGTTGCCGAGTCTTGTTTTCCCAGTAACATTACAACGCGTTTCCCTGTCTTGTTTCTCCGTGTTTCGATCTTAGCCTTGTACCCTTGTTTTCCTGTTTAGCCGCCTGCCTTTCGACCATTTGCCTGTTTAACGTTTACGATTCTGGACTGCCTTCATATACCTGTTTGCACCTGATGACCATTGCTTGCCTGACCATTGAATAAACTGCATAGTGGATCTTACCTCCTGTGGTCTCCTGTCACTCCACCCCAGTCCTGGTAACAACGTTAAAGGGTTAAAAGTGTATATATATTTTTTTAACTTTAATTATTTAGCGATTCCCCCGAGTACCACTAGAAGGAAGCCTGCGTACCACTAGTGGTACGTGTACCACAGTTTGAGAACCACTGATGTAGACCATGCGTCCACGCTTTTGTATGCTTTAATCTGTTATTTCGTGATGTCTGGAAGATATCTGCATGAGAAAAATCTATAGTAATTTAGTTCCCACTTTATATTGTGGCCTTAACTAATATGTACTTACATAGGAATTAATAGTTTGTTACAATGTACTTGTTGTGTAAATACATGTATTTATTGTGTACTTATGCTTAATTAAATACATGTATGTAATTACATCTGTAATTAACTTCTGTAATTACATTTGTAAATACACTGCTGACCATTCCCTACACCTTAACCCATCGTTAAACCTACCCATCCCACCAAACCTGTCCATAACCCAACCCCTATCCCAACTCAAGAGCAATACACGTGTTCTCAAATACATTATGAAAACAGTAACTAAACTGTATTTATTTTTGATGCAACTACATAGTAGTTAAGGACACTAAATATAAAGTGGGACAGTAATTTATAATAAACATGTTTTTGAACCACAGAGTAAAGTGTATAATGTTATAACTCTTTGTTATTAGTAAACTGATAAACTGTAACAAATACTCTGCTGTTAGTGCAAACTATGTTGGTGCATTGTGATAGTGTAAAATTATAGCGTAGAGAACTGAAGTCTACTGAATAATTTGTTTATTACTACAGTTTTGTCGTACCACAGCAACAATATAATTACTACAACAATAATTCAAGTAATTATCTATAGTATGCTTCCAAACACTAGTATTTACTATAGTATTTATCATATAATAGCTTACACAGTATCTACCGCCTCGATGACTGGCAAAAATATTTTAATTCAGTAGAAAACTCAACCCATGATATAAGGATCATGCTCAACATGTATGGTTATTTTCTATTTATATCTCCGTTGAAATATGGTATAAATCGCAAATATACACACTTTCCTCTATGTCTCCCATTCAGTTTTTTACTTCCTGCCCTCCATTTGAATTTCGCGTGTCACCAGAACCACGGGATTGAAAACGTATACCATACAATGAAAAAACTGACTGTAAAGCAATAAACAAGGCAAGGAGAAACTAAAAACTGAAAGTATTACTCAAGCATGTGTGAACCATGGATTTTTGTTCAAAATACAGTAATCCATGCACCACATTAAACATGCTAATTGACTTGCCTGAGTAAGACCTCCAAACTTTAAAAGTTATTTTAGGCATGGCCTTACAGATCTGGGGTCTTATTAATAAGACTTTGCATAAAAACCTTCATAAAAGTGATTGTACAGCAGAATAGATTAATTTTTTTTTTCATAGAAAGATTTAGAGTGGTTCAATTAAGTCAATATTTAAGTTAAATATGTCTACTTAGGGTGCTTTCACACCTGTGAATCGATACAGTTGTTCCAAAACAGGGATTCAAATTGTTACAGTGTTGCTTTTTGTTTTTGGTGCGGTTCGCTTTCACCCGGCAAAGTTTCTAAACGGACCAAAAGAGCTAAAACAAATCACGTGTGAGTAAACTCTGCTCATATTGGTCAGTTTACGGTTTATTTTGCAGAGTCCCGCTCAGCTGTCAGGGGGATGGTAGCGGTTTGGTGGTGTTTGACAGGGTGCGCACGACATGTTTGCGAGGAAGGAGGAAGGATGCTGAGGGGAGGGTTAAGAAGGGTGTGCAATGTATTTGAGAACCGGGCGGGAGACATGTGATTTCCGGGAGATTATCACTCATTTGCGGGCATCTGGGAGTCTCTGTGCATTTGCAGGAGACTCACGAAACTCGAGACTCGGGATGTCTGGAATGACCTCCTGCCCTACTCATAATTCTCTCTTCATATAGCCATATGCCTATTACATATCCATAAAACACTGTGATATAACCGGGCTCGGATCGTATTGCTCTCTCACTAAAATCGATCTGCTACAGAGTTTGTTTCAATCGAGCCGAGACCACCTCATTCAAGCGATCTCAGATCGATTGTTTTGGTGCAGATTCGAGCGTGATTGGTGGTTTCACATAAGCCAAATGAACTGCGCTAACTGGGCTAACAAGACACAAAAAGAAACAAAAGTCTAGGTGTGAAAGCACCCTTAGAGTTTACTTACAGCTGGACACATCACCATTCAAGTAGTTTTTTTTTTTTTATAGATCACAAATTTCGCATAGGAAGTTGCGTATACACGTTTCTACCTCCGTTTTGTGCATACACCATGCTTAAAAAATGAGACCCCTGGCTCTTTTTCAAGTTGGTGTCAAACTCTCCCCATCTAGTTTAATTTTTAATTGCACTTAAGCAACTGGAAAGGTGAACAGATTAAAGCCCTTGCTTTCATTTAGCTTTTTTGATCCATAGCCCAATTGGCAACTCATTTTAATTTTCTGTGAAGCACACCTGCGTGTTTTCATATGAATTCTGAATCGCATTTGAGTAATCAGATCCAAAAACTCTTTGCATTGCTTTTAGATACTGGTGTTAATTCTAGGGATAATCTGGGTCTCTGCGTGAGGTCGTTTGTTGTGACATATAGAGCTGACCTCATTATCTGACCGAGGGAATGATGTTCTGTTCACTGTGACTCTGACCTCATCTCTCGTCCAGCTCGGACCCTTTCTATCGCTGCCAGGCGTACGTGACAAATGTGATTCATTCGCTCGGTCATTCAGGCTGTCTTTACACCATGAATGCAAATGAGCAGACATAGGCCAGATAGCCCTAAGCCCTGTCACAAATATCACCATGAGACCTAGCAGCCCTCCGAGCCCACATTATGTTGACGTAACACTATGCAGACCAGAAACGAATCTGCCGTGGCTAAATGGGACAACTTATGGATCTGTGGACTTCACTGACAGGTTGCTAGGCCTTTGCGAGTTCATGCATGCTCAGGTTGGATAAAGGTGGTGAAATGGACGAGAAAGAAAATGTGACATTTGAATAGTTTTAAATAGTTTTGAATAGTTTTACTTAAAGGAAACCTTTTTGAAAAAGGCTCATTTTACAAGTTTCCTAGAGCCTGAATCATTTTTGTATTCTTTCAGCCAATTTCTTGTGAAAGTAGCCCATGCTCATGCATTATGTAATATCACTTTGTTTGGTGCAGCCATGGTACAGAAGCAGAGATTCTTGATCATTACGCCAGAATGAGAGTATAGTTCCTATCAGCATTGGCCTTGAAAATAGTAACTTTTTATTTTTCTGTCAGTTTTATTGCATGATGTAACTACAGAAACTCAGGCTTTAAATAGGAAAATAATCAAAACTCTTTTTTCATTTTTTTATGAAATGCTGATAGAATAGAATAGAATAGAATAGAATAGAATAGAGAATAGACTAGCTCTGTCACCATCCTGCAGTTTGTCTCCATTCCCCTAGAGGTCCCCGTGTTTCCCCTCTGTATTTGTTCTTCCTCATGTGTTCTTGTTTACTTAATTTAGATCACCTGTGACTTGTTCCAGCCAGTGTATTTAAGTTGTCACTTTGTCTGTGTTCCTCACTCGGTGTTTGAGTCATCTCTGGTGAACTTGCCTTGCGTTTCCCTTGATCTCCTGAGCTACATCTAGTAAGAGTGTTTTATTTTCCTTGTTGCTGACTGCATTAATTATCTGTTTGTTTTCTCCCCTCGGGGAGTTTTCTTTACATGTTTATTATACTGTTAGAGTATTTTGTATACCTCATTCTGAGAAGAACCTAAGTTGTCTGTTTTGCTACCTCATTTTTGAGAAGAACCTAAGTTGATATTTTTTTTAATAAATCCTTGTTTTCCGGAATCCCTCTTGGAGTGTTTTCGTTTGGGTCCAACACAACTTCCTCTGTGGCTTAGTGGTATACACATCGGTTTCCACACCAGAGACCCGGGTTCAAGACCCGGTCGTGACAGAAACACCGAGTCAGACATGGACCCAGAGGCACTCAGTACCAAAGAACTGTTGGCAGTGATTGGCAGTCATGAAGCTTCGTTCCAGCGTCATGAAGAGGTTCTCTGTCGTCAAGAGGAGGTGATGACAAAACACTCAGAGCTCCTTGCTGATGTCACATCGTCCATTCGGCAACTCTTTCAAAGCCTTCCTGGGGTTTCTTCTCCTGCTTCTCCTGCTGCACCACCCCTAAGTACCAACAGTCCTCCCATAGCTCCAGTAGCTGCTGCAGAGCCCAGACTTCCACCCCCCAAGCCATTCTCTGGAGATCCTAGTTCCTGTCAGGGATTTCTCACCCAGTGCTCTCTCACTTTTGAGCTTCAGCCCTCAAGTTTTCCCACTGACCGCTCAAAGATCGCTTATATTATCACCCTTCTGACTGACAAGGCATTGTCTTGGGCCTCTGCGGCATGGGAGTCCCAGCCTAGTTATTGCCAGTCATACACAGCCTTTGAGAAGGAATTCAAGAAGGTGTTCAATCACCCAGTTAGTGGACAGGAGGCTTCCAAACGTCTCCTTACTCTCCGTCAAGGTCCTCGCAGCGCTGCAGACTTCGCCATTGAATTTCGAACTATTGCAGCAGGTAGTGGATGGAATGACGAGGCCTTAAGAGTCTGCTTTCTGGGCGGATTAGCTGAATCCATTCAAGATGAGATGGCCACCCGGGAACCAGCCAAAGACCTAGAATCCCTTATTGATATGGCCATTCGCCTTGATATTCGCTTGAGAGAACGGAGAATGACTCGAGGCAGAGCATCCCATTCCCAAACTCCTGTTCACAAACCTGCATCTCCAGTTCATGCGCCACCAGTCAGACTTCTCCCAGTCAATGAACAAGCTCCCGAGCCTCCAGAAGATATGCAGCTAGGTCGTTCCAGACTCTCTCCCAGTGAAAGGGACAGACGGATGAGGGAGCGACGATGCCTTTACTGTGGTATGTCTGGTCATTTTCGATCCACTTGTCCAGAACTATCGGGAAACGAGGGTCCCCACCGAGTTACAGGAGGACTGTGATGGGGAAAATAAGAGTTCCTCCTGCCAACACCGTTCTAGCTCTCAAAGCTATTTTGTCCTGGGAGAGTCATCAGTTCCCAGTCCAGGCAATGATCGATTCAGGGGCCGCAGGTAATTTCTTAGATCTCTCCTTGGCCAAGAAACTTAAGATTCCTACCCACCTTCTCCCTCATCCCCAGTCAGTAACTGCTTTGGATGGTAGACCCCTTGAACCCGGCAAAGTAACTGAGGCCACTCAGTCCCTGAAGCTTACCATTGCTAAACATCAGCAGGAGGAGACTTTCTACCTTATTGACTCTCCCGAGTATCCGGTCATTCTAGGTCATCCCTGGTTGCACAGACATAATCCCCATATCAACTGGTCTACTGGTTCCATTCTAGATTGGAGTCCTTCATGTCACTTCACCTGTTTTACCCATAGCCTCTCTGCCCCTAATCCCGAGCCTCAAGATTCTGTAGATCTGTCTCAAGTTCCCGCTGTCTATCATAAGTTTAGGGCAGTATTCAGTAAGTCTCGAGCCACCTCTTTGCCACCTCACCGCCCATACGACTGTGCAATTGACCTTCTCCCCGGTTCCTCTCCTCCTAGAGGCAGAGTCTTCTCCCTATCTCCCCCTGAACAGGCTGCTATGAATGCTTACATCCAAGAGTCCCTGGCAACTGGCATCATCCGAGCCTCCACTTCCCCTGCTGGTGCTGGCTTCTTCTTTGTGGGAAAGAAGGATGGGGGGCTTAGGCCTTGTATCGATTACCGAGGTCTTAACAAGATAACCATTCGGAATCGATATCCCCTGCCTCTTATGGCTACTGCCTTTGAGCTGCTGCAGGGAGCTTCCATTTTTACCAAGCTCGACCTTCGCAATGCCTACCATCTGGTGCGGATACGGCAAGGAGATGAATGGAAGACTGCTTTTAACACCCCCACAGGCCACTATGAATACCTGGTGATGCCTTTCGGCCTTACCAATGCCCCTGCCGTGTTCCAGGCACTTATCAACGACGTCCTCCGAGACATGTTAAATATATTTGTATTCGTTTATCTGGACGATATACTTATATTTTCCAAGTCCATGGAGGAGCACGAGGGCCATGTCAGCAGGGTTCTCCAAAGACTCCTTGAAAACCATCTCTTTGTCAAGCCAGAAAAATGTGAGTTTCATGTTTCCCTGACTAAGTTTCTTGGGTACATTGTCACCCCTGGTCACCTGGAGATGGACCCTAGTAAGATTAAAGCTGTTCTCAACTGGCCTATTCCAACCACAGTAAAAGAGGTGCAACGGTTTGTGGGCTTTGCAAACTTTTACAGGAAGTTTATCAGGAATTTCAGCTCAGTTGTGGCTCCCTTGACAGCACTGACAAAGGGAGGAGGAGTCAAGATTGAATGGGGTCCTAAAGCAGCGGCTGCCTTCCAGGATCTCAAGGATCGATTCACCTCAGCTCCCATACTCTCTATCCCTAATCCAGACATACCCTTTATGGTAGAGGTAGATGCCTCAGATGTGGGTGTAGGAGCCATTTTATCACAGAGGAATGAGGATGGAAAACTACACCCCTGTGCTTTCATGTCACGTCGCCTGTCTAATGCCGAGCGCAACTACCACGTGGGGGACCGAGAGCTGCTTGCTGTTAAGTTGGCCTTGGAAGAATGGCGCCATTGGCTTGAGGGCGCTCGACATCCTTTCCAGGTACTTACAGACCATAAGAACCTAGAATATCTCCAGCAGGCCAAGCAACTGAACCCTCGGCAGGCTCGATGGTCTCTGTTTTTCAACAGATTTCAGTTCATCCTGACTTATAGACCCGGTTCCAAGAACCTTAAGCCTGATGCCTTGTCCCGAGCCTACTCTCCAGAGACACATGAAAAACCTGTTTCTTCTATTATTCCTAGTTCAAGGATTGTTGCCCCCCTCAGATGGGATCTGGAACAAGTGGTCCGTAAGGCTCAGACCAAAGAACCTGATCCAGGGAATGGACCGTTGGGGGCTCTATATGTCCCTCGAGCAGTGCGAGCTCAGGTCTTGCAGTGGGGTCATGAGTCTGTATTGACCTGCCACCCAGGTAGTTCCCGTACTTTAGAATTCCTCCGACGTCGCTTTTGGTGGCCTTCCATAAAGGAAGATGTTAAAGGTTATGTGGAGGCCTGCCAAGTATGTTGTCAGGGAAAATCATCACACCAGCGACCTCAGGGACTGCTCCATCCCTTACCTGTTCCCCACAGGCCTTGGTCACACCTTTCCCTGGATTTCATTACAGGACTTCCACTCTCCCAGGGCAACACGGTCATATTGGTTGTGGTGGACCGATTTTCCAAGGCTGCCCGGTTCATTCCTCTGCCCAAGTTGCCATCGGCTAAAGAGACTGCTGAGCTCATAATAAGCCATGTTTTCAGAGTTTTTGGCATTCCCCAAGACATTGTTTCTGACCGAGGTCCACAATTTCTGTCCAGATTCTGGGGGGCTTTTTGCAGACTCTTCGGAACCACTGCCAGCCTATCATCCGGGTTCCATCCTGAGTCTAATGGTCAGACAGAACGAGTTAACCAGGATTTGGAAACCACTCTACGGTGCATGGCAGCCAATAACCCCACCACTTGGTCATCTTACATAATGTGGGCTGAATATGCCCACAACACCCTCAAGTCCTCAGCCACCGGACTTTCCCCTTTTGAATGCCAATTTGGTTATTCCCCTCCATTGTTTCCTGAGAAAGAGGTCCAGGTGGGAGTTCCCTCAGCCCAGCACTTTGTTCGACGCTGTCGACGAACCTGGAGGAGAGCTAGAAGCGCTCTCCTTCGAACCTCCCTGAGATACCAACATCAGGCTAATCGCCGTCGTCGAAGGCCTCCTACTTTCCGGGTTGGCCAGAGAGTCTGGTTGGCCACTAAGAACCTTCCACTCCGGGTTGAGTCGAGAAAATTGTCCCAGAGGTTCATCGGGCCATTTAGAATAGCCAGGAAAGTTAACCCTGTTTCTTATCGTTTGTATCTTCCTCGTTCACTTAGAATTAATCCCACATTTCATGTCTCTTTATTAAAACCTGTCTTGTCTTCTCCCTTTGCCCCCCCTCGCAGACCCCCTCCACCTCCCAGGATCATTGACGGCCAGCCAGCCTACACGGTCCACCGGATACTGGATTCCAGGAGGGTCCAGAACTCACTTCAGTATCTGGTTGACTGGGAGGGCTACGGGCCAGAGGAGCGCTCCTGGATTCCTGCCAAAGACATCTTGGACCCTAGTTTAATCCGGGAGTTTCATACCCAGAGGCCAGGGTGTTCTGGTAGGAACGTCAGGAGCCGTTCCTAAAGGAGGGGGTCCTGTCACCATCCTGCAGTTTGTCTCCATTCCCCTAGAGGTCCCCGTGTTTCCCCTCTGTATTTGTTCTTCCTCATGTGTTCTTGTTTACTTAATTTAGATCACCTGTGACTTGTTCCAGCCAGTGTATTTAAGTTGTCACTTTGTCTGTGTTCCTCACTCGGTGTTTGAGTCATCTCTGGTGAACTTGCCTTGCGTTTCCCTTGATCTCCTGAGCTACATCTAGTAAGAGTGTTTTATTTTCCTTGTTGCTGACTGCATTAATTATCTGTTTGTTTTCTCCCCTCGGGGAGTTTTCTTTACATGTTTATTATACTGTTAGAGTATTTTGTATACCTCATTCTGAGAAGAACCTAAGTTGTCTGTTTTGCTACCTCATTTTTGAGAAGAACCTAAGTTGATATTTTTTTTAATAAATCCTTGTTTTCCGGAATCCCTCTTGGAGTGTTTTCGTTTGGGTCCAACACAACTTCCTCTGTGGCTTAGTGGTATACACATCGGTTTCCACACCAGAGACCCGGGTTCAAGACCCGGTCGTGACAAGCTCAGCCAATTGTAAGTTATTTTAAACTATTTTAGCCAAGCTAAGTTAAAAGTGACCCCACCAGAAAAAGAAATTTGCTGAATGGTTTCATAAATAGTTTAAGTCAACTTTTTAACTCTTTGAGACTTGTAAAATAAGCCTTTTTGAAAAAAGGTGGAGGGTTTCTTTAAGAATGCAACATTTAAATTAGAAGAAAAAGTCTCAAATTTAGAGTCATGGGTTAAAAAACTGCATGCATGAATGAGTTTCTTGGTCTATCTGTTTTAATATACAAATGTTTTAATGCCCTTCTATCAAAATCTATCTCAAATTTGGAGTATTTATTGAAGAAGAATGATACTTTTGTGGAATCAATCAACTTTATTTATATAGCACCTTACTGTAACCAGCCCCCCCTCCCCATGTTAAGAAAGCACATGCAATTACAAAAAACATCAGCAAATAAAGAAGCGTTCTTCATCAATTTGACAGCACTCCTGTTGCAAATTGTTCACAACACAACCAACTAAAGAAATGTGCTGCAAATTGGTCACAACACTTGCAAATAACCACATAACACAACGGAAATGTTTCTAGGGGACCCAAAAGCATCACAGACCCTGCTGAGATACGAATGTGTTATTATGCCATGACTGTTGCTCTGTGAAGTGATTGGTGGTCTTTGAAAGGTGAGTTGTTTTTCATTTATTTTAATATCCTGATTACACGACATAATAAACCCATGACACATCTATGATTATAACACATCCATATCTCAGCAGGGTTCGTAGCGTTTCTTCAGTTTTTTGTGTTGTGACAAATTTGTTGCATGTGTGCTGTCAAATTGATGAAGATCGTTTATTTATTTGCTGGTGTTTTTTGTACTTGCATGTGCTTTCTTAAATTGCAGCGCGTTAAACTCTCTCGGCCACCATTACACATTAAAACACATAAGATAACAAGAGCACAATCTAACAAGAATGTCAATAAAACAGCATTTTTAAATAAATCATTTTATGACCTAGAAAATATTAACTTTTCATTTTTCTGTCAGTTTTATTACATGATGTAACTCCAGAAGACTCATTTTTAAATAATAGGTTTTAATTTTGCTTTAAGCAGTGCCACATTCCTGATATTACTAAGTTCTATAGTGAGGGAATTCC